TTATATGGAACACATTATGCCAGTGCTCCGGCAGCTGCACTGGCTTCTGGTATGTTTCCAGGCACAATTTAAGGTTTGGTTATGACCTATAAAGCTCTAAATAGGTTGGGTCTGGGGTATCTGAAGGATCGTCTCCTCCCATATGAACCTGGCTGGGGAATGAGGTAAGCTGGGGAGGCTCTGCTCAGTGTTCCCTCACTTATGGAGATAAGATTAACATCTATACAAAGCAGAGCCTTCTCAGCTTTTGCTCCCAAGCTGTGGCAATCTCTCCTCTGGGATATTCACCTGGCACCAACATTAGCATTGTTTGTGTCAGGCTAAAGCCACCCTTTTTGCTCATGCTTTTATTGGTGTTTGAGTCTGTATGTGTGTGTTGCTTCTCTCGAGACGTTTTTAGCAGGTTTTATGTCCATCTGGGGTCTCGTATTTTTAATATATATTTGTATTGTGTTTTTAAAAATTTTGTAAACCGCCTCGAATATTTTAAATAGAGAGGCGGGGTAAAAATATTTTAAATAAATAAATAAAATTTAGCCTTTTTTTTTTTTTGCAAGAAATACTGAAAGAGCAGATAATGGTGCCCCACATATGACCTCTAGCTCAGTGGTTGGGTTTTGTTCCAAGAGGGGAGAGACTCAATTTCAGATCCCTTTATACATCAGATAGAGGAGGAAATTAAAATTTAAGACTACTCTCTTCACAGGCCATTTTGTGGGGGTGTATCCATGCACAGAGCATGCTTACCGAGTCAGGCCCCAAAGGCAAGATAAAGTCGATTTTGTGAATCCTGCTGGGACTTAGAGATGAATTAGATATCCAGCTGCTGAATGGTGTCCCAATCTATCTGTGCACCTACTCGCTTGCTGAAATTTAGGTGCTGTGGAGACTTAGGCACCTATAGGGAAAAGAGGCAGCTGAGCAGGGGGCTGTAAATGCTTGTGACACCTAAAAGTTGGTGTTAAGTGCTTAAAGTGGCAGGTAGATTTATAACTTCCTTTATGAATCCAGCCCAGAATGTCTGCTTGAGGGGGCTTCTCTGGGTAACAGGTTACAGACACTCTGAATACAAAATGATTGCAGGCTTAGAAATTAAAAAATGCTGTTCATGGAAAACGACAACATCACAGTTTCAGAGCTACAAATTGCTTCAAGAACAGCTGGTTTGAATCAAATATATACTTACACACTTTGCTAGATTCTCAGATGAAGTCAATGAAGCTATACCAATGTACATCAATTGATGATCAAGCCACTTATATTCAAAATATTTCAGTTTGTGCCTGCTTATGGATAATCTAAATTAGTGTTAATGCAACAGCACCATAAAAAAATTCTCAGAAGTTGAGAGCTTTGGAGTGATTATCAAGAGACTAAATCAATTAGATCAGCTCCATTTCAAATAGAAAATTATCTGTAGAACTCCTATAGCCTGTTTTATATGGGATCATGGTGGTCCTTCTGGCCTTAGAATCTATAAAAGTTTGCTGATCACTTAATGAGTGATGTATTTCTAAAGAAGAGAAGGGCTATTCCCCTCCCCCCTCATTTCTTTTTTATTGTGTTTATTTTTGTAATGGGACAACCTTTTGGCAGGGAAAATCTGTTTAGTTCTATAATAAAAATAGAGACCGGGTAGGAAGATTATTATTAAGGGAAATGGGTTATATTTTCACTGGGATTCCAGCAGAATGAAAGTTAGCAACAAAAGGCTTGTGTCCTGCAGGATGTTTTGAGTAAGGAATTTTCAACAATCAGGTAAGTTGTGAGTGAGATTTTTGCTTCTAATCAGAAGGAAATTGTTAAACAAGGAAGATTTCTAGATATGTAATTTGATTTGGTAAAGGGTTTTAGAACTCAGTAACAGCTCAGACACTAGAAAGAGAGCCATTTTTTATTTTCTATATAATATCTGGAGTAAAGTCTTGATGAAGACTATTTTTAATGTTTTGTAACTGTAACATTCAGCAGAATATTGTAGATGGGTAGCCATGTTAGTCTGTAACTTTAAAACAACAAGCAGTCCTGTGGCACCTTAGGATGCAGCTGTACTGCACCCTTACTCGAAATAAGCTACACAATTTGCACTACACAAATTGCATAGCTTATTTCAAGGTAATTTCAAAATAAAGTGCTATTCCAACAATTCCTTTAACCCTCATAGAATGAGGGTTACAGGGATGCCAGAATAACAAGTCCATTATTTTGAAATATATTTCAAAATAACAGGCATGTTTAAAGATGCAGATTGCTATTTCGGGACAGTTCTGGTATCCCAAAATAGCGCCACTGTCTAAACTGAGCTATAGAGACTAACAAATTTACTAGGTATTGAGGGGTAAAAGCCAATTCATCAGATGAGTTGGAGTGGAAATTACAGAATCCAGAGTATATATAACAGCAAAAAAAGTTATCTGTTAGTAGTAGTACTAATGTTAATGAAGCTGAAAGATGTCATATGATGAAAATGTCAAGATGCTGCAGAATGATAACAGTGTACTATTGCAACTGTGAGCTAATGGTTAGCTCAAGTGATAGCCATCTGTGTGGTAGTGCAGAAGATCTTAGGGTCTAATCCATATTATTATCTTTGAAGAGACAGGAAAGATTAATTATAGGCTTAGATCAAATGAATGAACATGTATATCACCTAAGGACTTTTTGAAGAGTCTGAAGAGAATAGAATTTTCAAATGAGCTAGTTACAAACAATAAACATGGGAACAAGAATAATGGGATGAGAATGTTTAGCTTTACATTCTAGAACAAACAGTTGAGGAGAATTCTTGTTCAGTAATATTTATTTGTTCTGTTACTGGGACAGTCAAAGCAGACCAGCTGGAAAATCTACATATGTTCTTAAATGTGTGAATAGCCTATTATTTTACTATATGCATTAGTGATAGTGCTTAGTACAGTAATTGTATTTTGGCTTGCCACATTTTAATTTAATGAAGTTGAACATAGTACTGTAATTGTAGTAATACAATTGTCCCATCCCACAGTATAAAATTAGGAAAAGGTTGCTTGCTCTTTTGGATAGTGACTGCATCTGTCTTTGTGTTTGAAAGGCACCTGGCACATTTCGAAAGTTAATAATAATCCCAAGCTCTTACACAGTGCTTTTTATCAACAGATCTTCAAAGCATGTTACAAAGGAGATCAGTACAAGTTTGTTGCCCTTCTCTATAACTTTTCTAATTTCTCTATAACTTTTTTAAATGGGGCAACCACATCTACACACAATATTCAAGATATAGGCAAATCATTGATGTACATATTAGCATTAAGATATTTTCTGTCGTATTATCTAGCCCTTTCCAAATTGTTCCTAACATTCCATTAGCATTTTTGACTGTGTCTGTACGTTTAGCAGATGTTTTTAGAGAAATACACAAAACTCCAAGATTTCTTTCCTGCGTTATTATAGCTAATTTAGACCATATAATGTGCATTACATTGCATTTCATCTGCCATTTTGTTGCACAGTCACCCAATTTTGTGAGTAATCTTTGTAACTTTTCCTAGTCTGCTTTGGACTTCCAATTTAACCCTAACACTAGCCTTTTTTTCCAGATCATTTATGAATATGTTGAAAAATACTGGTTCTTGTACAGACCCCTTGGGGACACCACTATTTACTTCTCTCCATTCTGAAAACTGACCGTTTATTCCTATCCTTTGTTTTCTAACTTTAAACCAGTTATTGATCCAAGAGAGAACCTTCTATCTCATTCCATGGCTGCTTACTTTGCTAAAGAGCATTTGGTAAGAAACCTTGTCAAAGGCTTTCTGAATGTCCAAATACTCTAAAACTACTGGATTGCCCTTGTCCACATGTCTGTTGACCCCACCCCCACCCGAAAGAATTATACTAGATTGGTAAGGCATGATTTCCTTTTACAAGAGCTGTGTTGATTCTTCCCCAACAAGTCATGTTTGTCCATGTATGCTATAATTCTGTTCTTTACTATAGTTTTAACTAGTTTGCCAGAAACTGAAGTTAGGCTTAGTTACCTGCAACTGCCAGCATTCCCTCTGAAGCCTTTTTTTAAAAAATGATGTCATATGAGCTATTCTCCAGGTTTGTCACCAAAAAAGAATGTGGGAATCGTCCTCATGTCCTCTGCAGTGGAAACTGATGCAAAGAATTCATTTAGTTTTTCTGCAGTGGCCTCATCATCCCTGCTTCTTTAGCACCATGATTGTCCAGTTGCTCCACTGATTGATTAGTAGACTTGTTGTTTCTGATGTACTTAAAAATGTCGCTGTTACTTTTTGAGTTGTTGACTAGTTGCTCTTCATATTCTTTTTTGGGCTTCCTGATTACACTTGTACATTTGATTTGCCAGAGTTTATGCTCTTTTCTATTTTCCTCAATAGGATTTAACATCCAATTTTTAAAGGATGCTTTTTTTTTTGTCTTACTGCTTCTTTTACTTTGTTGTTTAGCCACAGAGTCAGTTTTTTAATTTGGGAGTATACTTTCTAGTTGAGCCACGAAGAAATTTCACTTTTGGGGCTGACATCTTTTAATTTTTGTTTAACTAGCTTCATCATTTTTGCTTAGTCTCCCTTTCTAAAATTAAATGCTACTGGGGTGGGCTGTAGTGGTATTCCCCCCTACCACAGAGAGGTTAAATTCATTTACGTTATGGTTGCTATTACCAAGCAGTTCAGCTATATTTACCTATTGAACCACATCCTGAGCTCCACTTAGGACTAAATTGAGAATTGCCTCTCCTCTTGTGGGTTCCAGGACTAGTTGTCCCAATAAACAATCATTTATGGTGTCAAGAAACTTTATCTCTGCATTCCTTCCTGAGGTAACATATACCCAGTCAATATGGGGATAGATTAACTCCACCCATTATTATCACATTTTTTATTTTTATTGCCTCTCTAATGGCCCTGAGCATTTCAGTCACCATCACCATTCTAGTCAGGTGATTGATAGTATATGCCTAGTGCTATATTCAATCATGAAATTTCTATCCATCGAGCTTCTACAGTGCAATTACAGTTCTGCTGTTGCTAATGAAGGAAAGAGGACTAGCTCTGAGCAGCAGGGGAGAGGAGGCGGCACTGCATGTTCTGGGTGGCACTGAAGGTTGGCTGCCCCAGCCCTGTCCCTTTGATCCGAGGCCCACCCCTTCTGCGACCGTTGAGTCCCCACCCCGCCTTGCCCAGGGCCCAGCAATTCTGTCAGCCCTCTAATTCTAGTTACTGAAAGTGTCTATCATGTGTATCTTAACTGTTGAGGGGGGCTTCGGGAGATGAGGAGAGGAGTGAGCAATGGGAAAAGGGGACTTCGGTGGAGAGGGCTGAGAGGAGAGGATGGATGATGCCTCAAAGAGAGGAGTAGATGGAAGGTACCTCAGGAGAAGAGACAGAGTGGGAAGAAGGCCTTGGGAAAAGAAGTGAAGTAGAGCCTCAGGACAGAGGAGGCTGAGTGGGGATGGGGTCCTGGGGCAGAGCAGGGGGCAGGGCCACAATCTTGGGTCCTGTGGTTCCCCTCTTCCCCCCATTTCTAGGGTGTTTCTAACATCCCTGTCCAAGGTCCCAAAGTGCAAGAGTCATGTGCCACATAAGACTGAGACTCATGAATGCTGAGTATCTCCCATTTTTTTCAGTGGGTTCTTGAGTCCTGGAGCACCCATGGAGTCTTATAAGTTCTTCCTTTAGTACTAAGGTACTGTAAGTAGTTTAATTTCTTGTACATAAAACACATACTACTGAATGTGAGGAAGTGAATGCCTGGGGTTATTTTGACCTCAAAGACCACTTTGAAAATAGATCTGGGGTTAACTAGTGTATTGTGATACTTAAGATTTCCAGTGTTGCTTTTTCTACTGTTTGTACATGAAAAGAATATTAGGAAGGAAGTTGGAAGGAGTAGCTAGATATTAATTCATATGCAACCCAGAGGCACTAAGACCACTGACAAGGGAGAGTGAAGTCTGCTCTATAGCCTTATCTGACAGCCTCAGCTCACATGGTAGAGGCACATTATTTAAGCCCCTAACGACCTGGGTCTGTCAGCTTTACACATAGAATGGTGAAGTAAAATTAGGTGACTATCATAATAACCTGACAAGGTATCAAGAGCTTGTCTCTTTTGCCCGCAAAAGTTGGCATAGTAAAAAATATTACTTACCAACACAGCTTCAGAACACGGTATATCACAAGTCAAGACTACACAAGCAAAGGGTGGGGTTGCAACTTCTTTGGAGGATAGGGACATAATTCAAAATGACCTTAGCAAGTTAGAGAAATGGTCAGAGGTAAACAGGATGAGGTTTAATAAGGAGAAATGCAGAGTGCTCCACTTAGGAAGGAACAATCAGTTCCATACATACAAGATGGGAAGCGACTGTCTAGGAAGGAGCATGGCGGAAAGGGATCTAGGGGTCATAGTGGACCACAAGTTGAATATGAGTCAACAGTGTGATGCTGTTGCAAAAAAAGCAAATATGATTCTAGGTTGTATCAACAGGTGTGTTGTAAGCAAAACTCGTGAAGTCATTCTGCCGCTCTACTCTGCACTAGTTAGGCCTCAGCTGGAGTACTGTGTCCAGTTCTGGGTGCCACATTTCAAGAAAGATGTGGAGAAATTGGAAAGGGTACAGAGAAGAGTGACAAGAATGATTAAAGGTCTAGAGAAGCCTATGAAGCCAGGCTTCATGAACTGGGCTTGTTTAGTTTGGAAAAAAGAAGATTAAGGGGGGACATGATAGTGGTTTTCAAATATCTAAAAGGGTGTCACAAGGAGGAAGGCGAAAATTTGTTCCTCTTGGTTTCTGAGGACAGGACAAGGAGTAATGGGCTTAAAGTGCAGCAGGGGAGGTTTAGATTGGACATTAGGAAAAAATTCCTAACTGTCAGGGTGGTCAAATATTGGAATAAATTGCCAAGGGAGGTGGTGGAATCTCCCTCTCTGGAGATATTTAAGAACAGGTTAGATAGACATCTGTCAAGGATGGTGTAGACGGAGCTTGGTCCTGGCTTGAGGGCGGGGGGCTGGACTCTATGACCTCTCGAGGTCCCTTCCAGTCCTATGATTCTATGATTCTATGAAACTTAGATTAGGAATTTTTTTTGACATTTGAGTAGACCAACTTGTGAATGATCCATCACGTATGATTTTTCAACAGAAAATGCCGTTTTTCCCAGGAAAATTTCAATTTTGTTGATTTTTTTTCCATCAGGAAAACCTAAATGAAACATTTTGATTCAGGCTGGTTCTACCCAAATTGAAATTTTTGGGGGGAGAGTGGTTTGAACTTACGTGAGAGAACTGAACTTAATTATGAGTAATTTTAACATTAAACTGCATTTTGTTATGGTGTTACATTGCTCGATGGAAGTTATAATTCAGGGTCCCATTTTTTCCATAATGGCTGAGCTCCCTGGAGGATACCATCTACCTTCTGACCTAGCTGTGAAGTGCATCTTAGGAGCCTCATGACTGCAGGAGCATTGTAGGAAAAGTTCTTGGAGCCAGAAACCTAGTATAGAAGGGAGAATGGAGGCATTAAAATCCTGACATACAACTTTTATGAATCACATGACACCATGAGGAAATTAAGTTTTAATGTTGAACTAATTCTAAATTATTTGTGTATCTGGTTAGTTCAGATATTACTGTGATGATCATAGTATGTAAATGGCCTGGTGTGTACTATATGCACACCAATCCATATATGCTTTTATATATGTTATGTTTTTCAGTGAACCTGAAAGTGTCTGCATGGCTGATAGTACACCTGACAGAACTGTGACACAAGTTGAAAATCTCAAGGTTGTGAATTTCCTGGCCATTACTTCTCACATTCCACTGCTTGCCTTTGTTTTGAGTGTTTTAGGTTGGATTTTGTGTATGATTTCATTAGGACTTATACCATGGAGAGTGTGGCATTTGGACAATTCCACCCTCATCTCCTCTGGCAACATTTGGATCAGAATGTGGGATGTCTGCTTTACTTTTAACCCTGAACTTACCAATGGCTCTTCCTTAATGCTCTGTCAAGGATTCAATAATCAGGACACTTTCATCCCCTCAGAAATGGTTATTGCCCAAGACCTTCTGATATTAGCTGCTGTCATGGAAGCAGTAGCTATATGTTTAGTTCTCTTTCTTTTGTGGAGTAATTATAAGAAAGAGCTTAAGGAACATTATATCTTAATTTTTTTTCTAACCGGGGGGGTCTTGAACATCATGTCTAGTGTATTCATATTAATTCCAGTAAGCTGGAATTTACAGTCCATAATGAAAAACCATAGTATTGCCTTCCCTCCTTCTTACCACTTGCCTTCCACTCCAACGTCTCAGGAAGTAGGGTCTGCTATTCATGTGGGACTTGCAGCTGTTCTCCTGCTACTGTTGAGTGGGATCTTACTTCTCTGTGACAGGTATCTTAATTTAGACAGTAAAGTGCATCCAAAAACGAAAGAACCAGATCAGGTAGCACATCACCATAAGCAAACATGCCTGTGCAAATATCCTTCTGCCAGATCAAGCCAAACTTATCCACACTGTGGATCTTGCTTGGAAATTGACCTGTGGGGCCCAAAGAGACCTTTTGGCATATACAGCTGCTCTGGGATCAACCCACATGGAGGCCCCGTACTTAAAAAGAGTCAAGTATTGACACAAGGACCGACCACTTCCTTTCAAATCCCTAGTGGACCTTTTCCACACCGACCATCCACATGTCTCATGTCTGACTCTAAAATTTTTATAGCTGGTGAAAAGCTTCTTTATTTTTAGTTTGCTTAGTTGCTTCCAATTTCATTTCCTACCAAGGCCAGGAAGGGTTGAGTATCAGGAAAACAGGTGTCAGATATGAAGGGTCCTTCCTCTTGACAGGGACTTGGCTGGGGACCCATATGTTACCTTACATAAAACACTAAGTCCAAACCTGTTCAAGCTCCTGCCCAAAAGCTCTCATTGATGTTTGTAGGAGCTCCATATGGCGAATAATTCCCAAGAGAGATCTGTCCTGTAGATAAGTGTGACTCTGACAGCAGGATTTTACCCTTTGAGCCAGGCCAGGTTCTGTTTCCAGTTACACAGGAGCTTTGCCTGTGTAACTGGGAGCAGAATTCAACCTTATGTATCCTAGGGAAGCTGTTGGATCCTGTTGCCACTTACAATTACGGTAACCATGTAGTAACTTGAACTCGTTGACTACTAATAAAACACCTTAAGAGGAATAATCCTTTGAGGTGCTGTATGCTCTCAACTCCATTGAAATTAATGGAGTTGGAGGCATTCAGCACCTCTCAGGAGGTGTTTAGCACCTTATAAGATTGTGTAGTGGAATATAAAATTATTATTCCTATTAATTGTCAAACATTTGGAAAGTTTTACTACTGAGGCAAATGGTTGTTTCACTCTATAACTGCTGCCTACTATTATCTGTATTTTTATTAAAATATAAAACATGAAAATAGGTGTGTGTTTTACATTAATAAGGATTGGTTCCTGTGACTTTTGTCTTGTAATCAATCTGTCATTGTCTCCTGCTTGTAAGATTAAAGATTCTAAGAGTGCTAAATCCTTATATGTTTATTTCTAGCTGCCAGCATGTATGTGTGCCCTACAAGAGACTTTTGTAAGCTTTTCTTTTGGCAATAGATCCATGCTTAAATTCTGTCTGCACTTGGACTATGTCTACACTGGCAATTGATAATCAAAACTTTTGTTGTTCAGAGGTATTAACCCAGCCCAAAAATTTTACCGTGAAAAGTGGCAGTGTGAACAGTGCTTTGTCAGCAGGTACGCTCATAGTGGATAGAAGTATTTTGTCAGCAAAAGTGCTGACAAACAGCAGCTACACTGCATGATTTTTAGTGACAGGATTGTGTTGACACAGCCTTGTTGCTAAAAGCTTCATAATATGTAGATGTAGCCTTGTATGTCATTCGTACTGCATAAGACTCACTGTACCACACACAATGGGCAGGCTGTAGCTAACCTGCCTGGAGGTGAAATGGAATTGGGTAAGAGAGTGCAATCACATTTACAAAATGATATGAGGAGCTTATTTTGAATACATAAATATTCTTGTTTCCTTTCTTTGCACCCAAGCATTCCAAAACCCAATCATTTCCTCACCAGTCATTGAACGGACGTAAGGAAGCATGCACTGCATCCTGTAGAAGAGGTCCGTTCTCCCACTCCTCTCAGATCCACTGGAAGGATTCTCATCAGAATCCCTTCACAAATGCTGCTGCTGTGGAGCTCCTGGCCCTAGCCCTCATCCTCTCTGAAATCCTGGATTAAAAACATACAATATAGACTTCTATGCAGGGTAAACGTGACTTGTGAACTTCACAAAACTGAGACTGAACTTCACAAAACTGAGTAACTTGAACTCATTGACTACTAATAAAACATCTTAAGGGCTATAGTCCTCTGAGGTGCTGTATGCTCTCAACTCCCTTGAAATTAATGGAGTTGGAGGCATTCTGAAAATTTTCAGAACAGTTACAGCGAGGCCCTGGGGAGATGACAAACTCACAGTAAGACTGACCTGGGTTTAGATAGGTAACACTGCACATAAACAAATATGTTACCTCACAGAATTGCTTTCTGTCTCCTACCAGACAGCTAAGAAAGACATTGTTGGATGCAGAGCTGCTGAAGTTGAGTTGTCTCAAGATGTTAAGAGAGACAAGGTGTGTAAAATAAGGCGGGTGAAGTAACATCTTACCTTGGGCCAGTTTCTGTTGGTGAGAGACAGACAAGCTTGTGAGCTTACATACAACTGAAAGGGAGTTCTGCATTAGTTCAAAAACTTGTGTGTCTCACCAATAGAAGTTGGTCCAGTAAAAGATACTACCTCATGCACCTTGTCTCTCTCAGAAACATCATTTCAATTCAGGACTGACGGAATCTGAAATAGAAGATCATCCAAGAGGTGAGTCAGGGAGTCCTGTGGAGCAGTGAAGCTAGACAAAATAAGAAGTTATGCTTAAAATCTAAGCTTTTACAAATATCCACTTACAGCAGAAATTAAGAATGAACACACAGTGCACTGCTGATCTAGTAGTGTTGTGTTCTGCTACTGAAGAGCCAGCAGAGGGAGTCAAATGTAAACAACAATGTACTGATAGATGTACATTAGAGAAGAAAAGAACTAAACATTATTACATTTGCTGAATAATAGGAATATCAATGCCAGCTAGATATATGTTGCTGAATAATATTTGATATGTTTATCCATACCAATTTCACCACCACATGGCAAGCGTCTGCCAAATCCCATTCAAGGTACAAGCAAGGTTAGCCCATCCATCCCTTCCACAGTATAAATATGGGGGGGGAGGGGCAAAATCTTTCAAAACTAGAAGCCTGAAGCTAGGCTTCTAAATCCATATATAAATAAAAAGTCTGATTTCCAACACTACTGTACCCCCACTAGGTGCTGCTGAGATCAAAGAAGTGCCTCCATGACATCATCCATCCTCATTCTCCATGCCCTGCAGATCCGGGGTTATACGGAGAAAAACACTGGAGTCTGGAGGGTGGAGGTGTCTGGCCAAAGGAGAGAGCACATCTCCTCAAGTATCAGAGGGGTAGCCGTGTTAGTCTGAATCTGCAAAAGTGACAAGGAGTTCTGGGGCACTTTATGGACTAACAGATTTATTGGACCCACCTTGATGAAGTGGATCTTTGCCTATGAAATCTTATGCTCCAATAAATCTGTTAGTCTATAAGGTGCCACAGGACTCCTTGTCACTTTAGCACATCTCCTCATGACCTTTGAAAAATTGTGCATCACAAGGTGATGAATTTAATGTACGTGGAAAAAACATTATTTTTTCTTACTTGTCTAGCTATACTATGATTTTATACTACACAGATTCTAGTGATTTTGATGTTTCATGTAACATTTTTTTCCTAAAATAATATATAATTTAATTATTTTCTAACCTGAGCAATATTGCTTTCTTTAGACTTAGATACACCGTGAAAACATTTATTATTACAGTATTTAACAATGTGTTTCTCAAGCAAACGGTTTCACCACCATGAGGATCTAGGGCAACCTCCCCTTCCATTTTTCACCTACTCCTCCATTGGTCTTAGTTTATTATCTAAAGTAAAGAAAGAATTCCAACTACATGCAGAGCCAGCATTTACAAACAAAACCATTATAACACTCCTCCTCAGTTGTGCAGGATTGAAAACTTAAAAACTGCTGAATTGTACAGTATTTTCCACCTGATACACTAGTAGCCTTTCTAGAAATCCTGCTATGTCCTATAATACAGGATGTTATATGAGTATTTCTAAAATTGCAGAAAAATACTTTTTTTCAAATAAAATGTATGTGATCATATAACTAAACAGTGTATTATAATGCACAAGGTGATTTATCCAGAGTTGCTTGGATCCTTAACCCAAATAAGTTTTGTTTTTCTTCATTTAAATCTTTGCTCTGGAGTGGGGTAAGGGATAAAGGGGGGTCAGTGTGCAGGCTGCCCTCGGGAGAGAGGACAACCCCAGCCCACTGTAACCACAGCAGCTTGGGAGCAGGTGAAAAGCACTTACCCTCGGGAGAGAGGACAACCCCAGCCCACTGTAACCACAGCAGCTTGGGAGCAGGTGAAAAGCACTTATCTATGGCTGCTGCAGCTGCAGCGGGCACAGCCAGGAGAGGGGTGCATGTACCCTGGCTGGGGGACAAACAGACACACAAACAAACTCACTGAAATATATAGTAGATAGCTGTCCCTTTTTCCACCTCTGCTACCTGTTGGCCCAAAGGGGTTATAGTTGTCTCAGTCCCAATCTCTGGTCCCTTGCTGCCCCCTAGTGTCATTTAATAGTATAACTTGCTCTTACTGAGCTTTCTCATTTTATGGGAAACAATCGAATTCCAAGCACATCCCATTGTTTTGGCACAATCAAACCCTTACCTTGCTTTAAGTTATGGTAAAAGGAAGCTGCATATCAAATTTGGTGGTCCTAGCTCTTATCATTTAGGAGTTATTGAACAAACATACGGATGGACAGACAGACAAATGCACATTTCTAAAATATATACAGTATTACGATGCGCCCCAGTGGGCAGAGTTAAGATTGCACATTCACTTGTTAACTTCAGACTTCTGAAATTTCACTTTGGAATCTTTAGTCAAAAATGTCCCTTGAAAGTATTGGCCCATGAGATGAACAATGCAGAACCATGGCCCTGCTCTCTCTTTTGTTCATTAGCTTGGTCTTGGGCTCTTCCTGAAAATAGCAATGCCTCAGTAAATTATGAATAGTGAATTAAGCCAGTTTGATTCTTACATTTTGATGGTTCGGGTGAGGGCTAGATTATCCATTAGGCACCGTAAGCACAATGCTTAGGCCTACGAAAAATTTAGGGCCTAAAAACAAATTCATAATTGACTCAAAAATAAGAAAAGAAAACTGCTAAGTCACACTTAATAATTTGCTATTTTTTATTAGAATTCATGTGCAAATGTTGAAGATCAATTAAATGCAGGTGTATTAAATCTTTAGTAAAAAACAATACATGGGTATAACGTACAATTAAATATTTACTTTGTGACTCTTTGTTAGCAAAACCACGTATTATGTCATCAAATGTCATTTTTCTCAAAAGCTCACTCTGAATTGAAAGTAGTGCAAGGGAAGATTGTCATTTCTGACCCATGGTAGACTGAAGACAGTTCTTTATATGTTTTAACTTTTAAAAAGAGCTCTCCCCTTCACAGTCTGTTCCCAAGATGGTGAGAGAGATTCTGAAAGCAATGGTGACATTTAGAAAACTTGTCACCAACTTGTCTGCTATTTCTTCACTGATCTTTGCTACCTCAGGTCTCTTCTCTGCATACACATGTGAGAACAATAGAAATTCATCTGTACATTCATGTTCAAGAGCTGATGGATAGATATCTACTAATGCACTTGCCCTAGAGGCGACTTCAGCACTGGACATTGATCTATCTGCAAGAAAACTGAAGTTTTCATTCAATATGGCATATGCTGCTCATTATCTGACCATCTCAACAATAAGTTTATCTATGATAGGATAGAAGCACAGTATGTGAAATTTGTCCCTGATACTCAAATCCAAGACAAACCATACAAACTTCATCATTCCAAATGATGTACATCACAGCTGTCTTGAACTGATCCAGCTTCTTAGTCAGTGACTTTGCCTCACAGACAACTGCAGGTGGTTGTCAATCACTTTCACATATGTCTATCAAAGTCTGACAAATTTCAGAACAGTTCATATAAAGTGCTCTGGTGGCATCACTCTGTGCTGACCATCTTCTTTCTGATATGCTTTGTACAACATAGATATTTTGCTTCGTGTTATTTACTAATTTAGACCAACTCGGGGGTGAAGCTGAGAAAAACGTAAAGAGTAACTGAAAAATCCAAACCCCCTTCGTGTTATTTACTAATTTAGACCAACTCGGGGGTGAAGCTGAGAAGAACGTAAATAGTAACTGAAAAATCCAACCCCCCCTAACTGCTGCAGGGCAACACTCAACAGCAGCTGATCCAACCAA